CCATTCTGTTTGATAGTATCTAGTTTGAGGGTATAGGCAACTACTTTGAAGGCAATAAGATTCACTATGATGCCCATTCTGGTTTGACTATTATCTTCTTTTGAAGTCCTGTAATGTTTCCAATGTTTAGGTTTTATTGGTCTTGTTCTGTACTGTTTGTTCAATTTTATTATACCTAATGATATAGGCAATTCACTTTAAGGAAGCAAGAGGCATTATGGTAACTATTGTTGATAACATTGTATTCTGTTTTTACATCATGTGCTATGTCTATCCTTTGTTTTGACTGACTGCTTTGGTTTGTCATATTTGGTTTTATTCTTTTCCAAAAAAATAAGTAATAAGAACTATGGGAGTAATAAAACCCAAAATGTATAAATCTTGTTGTAAAAAATAGAGGAAAAAAAGTGCTCTAAAGGATACAACTGCAAGGGTATTTAGGTATGTTAAGACAGATGACCATATTACTGAGTTGTTGGATCGCTGAACACAACTGTTTGCAGTCTCACTGTTTGAATGTCCACTTTGTATGCTTTAATCCTGTAACTTGAACAACTATTTTTAAGATGACAAATGTAATCTATTAACTAGTGATTTCTTACTGTTTTTTTTTTTTTTTTGTGGTAATTCTGTATTACTTGTACTCTTATACTGTTTTGGTTTTTTTCCTTTAAATAAAAAAAAATAGTATCCCATGTGGTAACATTGCCTTCACCACAGGCAACTTGGGGAAACACCCTAAGTGTCCCTAAATGAATGAATACCTAAGTAAATGTGACGCATAAATGCATTTAAATGTTAGTCATGAAAAACAAAGTTCCAATGCCAGCTCCAACATGGGGAAACCTGAAAAGAAGCAAGAACCAAAATGAAAGCACTTGGGAGGCTGAGGCAGGAGGATCGTCGCGAGTTCGAGACCAGCCTAGGCTACAAAGTGAGCTCAAGATCAGCCTGAAGTGCATAGCAAGACCCTGTCTCAATAAGACAAAAAAAAAAAAAAAAAAGAACCACAATGGCACCTGTTTAAATAGTTTAATTTATATGAAATACCTAGAATAGGGCAATTCCTAGAGGCAAATTCAGTAGCTTAGAGCCTACTATGGGCTGGGGGGGAAGGGGTGAGGAGTTACTTATTAATGGCTAGACTTCCAGTTCGGATATGAGAAATTCTGGGTATTGGAGCAATTGTTATAATCATGAATGTAGTTAGGGGCACTTATTTATATTCTTTTTTATTTTAAAGATAATAAAATTCAACAAAACAAGACAGAACAAAGCCAGTCAAGGCAAAGCAGAGAAACTGGTATAGAACTTCAGAGAAGTATACTGGGATAACAATAATAGCTACCATAGTATATTTCGTTATCTTCACTATAATGTCCATTCAATCAGATATAGAAAAATCAAACCAAAAACAGAACACTATAAGACAACTCAAAACTATTGAAGAGAGCAAATAATGCATATTGAATATTGAATAGAGGAAAATAATTAATTAGAACAAAGCAAAATAGTGAAAATTATATTGGACTTCAAAAACAAGATAGAAGGAAATCCTCCACAATTGCTATATTGCACCCTGTCATCCTCCCAAGAGATGTTCACATCTCTGGCCCCAGCTCAGCATAATCAACCAAACAATACAAGCATTTAGTTGCTTTATGAACCTTAGTAAATATCAACTCTGGTTGACCTCGAAACCATCCAGGGGTGCTTGATTCTTAGCCCATGCACTGGTAGGCTCACGGGAGACACTGACTTGTTCTCTTCCTGGAGTGCCTGCCGCTCACACTGCTTACCAGGAGAGCTGGCTCCTTGCTTTCTTGGTTGGTCCCCCAAGTTCCAGCATGGCTGATCCTCAGGAGATGCTGATGTGTTCTCTCCCTAGCATGCCTGGGGCTCACATCATTTACCAGGGAGGCTGCCTCATTGCATTCTACTTATATTCTTAAAATTTTTAAGACAGAACATTTTATCATCTATCATTTGCAGCAATTTTTCAAACTCTCTTCAAGGCCAGGTGGTATAACCTGTAATCCCAGCACTGTAGAAGGCCAAGGCAGGAGGACCCTTAAGTTGGAGCTGAGCCTAAGAAACATAGGGTAACTGTGTCTCAAAATTTAGAATGGGCTGGAGATACAGCTCAATGCAAAAGCTCTGGGTTCAATCTCTGGTACCACCCAATACTTTTTTAAAAACACTTACAAGGTGGCTAGGTGAGGTGGTGCACCCCATCAGCCACCACCGGAAGGCTGAGGCACAAGGATCACTGCAGTTTCCAGGTCAGCCTGAACAGCAGAGAAATGCTGTCTCAAAAGGACAAACAAAAAACAAAAACAATAATTCTCTTCAAATATTCAAATATTAATCTATACTTACAGTGTAGACCCTTCAGGTCCAAGGATTTAGAGACAGGGAAAGACTGAGGTGTTAGATCAGGTGACTGCGGGCAATGCCATCATGGGGGAAGGTTTCAGGGACCCCTGAAGGGGTCTTTATGTGCAAGGACTGAACCGCAGGGTAGGCCTGCCTAAGTCTTCGCTGGATGGCCGCTTCTTGCTGTCTTACTGTCTCTACTGTGTTCAGCCCTGATATGGGAGATGGCAGAAGTGTACAGCCTATGCAAACACCCCTGAAAACCCAGGGTCCTCAGACACGCAGGAAGGAGTAGGTGGGACATGGGAGGTTCCGGGCAGGGTTTCTGGGGCAAGGGATGGAAATCAGGCTGCATCTCCACCTCCTGAGTGCAAGCTAAGCTCACATTGAGGGAAGTCCGTTCCTGAGTGTGGACTGTGTGTTGCAGAGTTGCCCTAGAGGCCATGAGGAGACCTGCCACAGTGACTGCCCCATTACTCCTGATTCTTCCAGTTGATGGGAGACCGTGTGCCTGGGAAAATCTGCGGAAGATGCAGACTAGATGAGTCCACAGCAGCCCTGCCGAGGCCCACAGACACAGGTCCTAGTGAGACATCCTTTAAGGAAAGCAGCTTATAACCACTGCCCTTTGTGGTCACACTGGGACTTCTTAGCCCTAGGAGCCCAGCCAATGTGCCAAGAGTCTTCCCTTGCACAGTGATGGGCAGGAGACCTTGGCATTGGTCCACCAGTCCACGCCCCAACCTCCTCCAGCAAACTTCCTCCCCGAGTTCCTGGTGCCTGACTCAGAGGTCTCAGCCTGGAGCCTTCCTGAGGTCTGGGGCTGGGCACCTGTCTTTGCCTCTGGGAAGGCCAGGGTCACAGGAGTTTAGGGGAAAGCATTGAGCCCTCTAGTGACCCCACCCTTCCAGAGACAGAAAGAGGCCAGGGAGGGGAGAGGCAAAGTTGAGCTTGGGCAGAGGGCAGGTGCAGAGGATACAAGTGAAATGAGGGGAAGCGGCTGGGGTAAGTGGGCAAAGGGAAGAATGGGAAGAAGCGGGGTGAGGGGAGGATCTAGGTAGGCAGGGGAAGGGTGCGGGGCAGGGTTCAATTTCCACTGACACTTGTGACTGCTGATTTTTGTGGGGTTACCTGCACCTTGTGGGGTGTTTAGCAACAAGGAGGCTCTGCCCAGTAAGTGCCAGGAGCACTCCCTCCCTCAGGTGTGACAATCACAGCTGTCTCCAGACACTGCCAAATTCCCCTGGATGGCAAAACCCAGCCTGGCTCGGACTCACTAATGCCCTGCAGCCTGATGGGGGTGGGAGGGGAGATTATCTGACACCAGGAGTTCTAGACAAGGAGCATAGGGTGACCTCACTATTTTAGAAATCAATTGATTTTACTATGAATTTCAACAGAAATGTTAACCAGAGGAGCTTATGACTCTTGTACAGAAAAACAAAATTAGCTATTCATCTTTTCCTCTTTAAGAATTTACTTCAGTACTGCAGTAATAAAATAATATGCGACTCCCATAATGACTCACAGATTGATTTTATAGAATAAGCCCTGACAATATTGGTCATATGCCCTCTGACAAGTGTATCAAAAGAGCTTAATAGCTTAATAGCTTAGTAGAAGAAAAGTCTTTTAATATCCAGTGAGAGCCAGTATGAGCCTGGTCAGCATCCCTGCCACAGCCCCTGACACTGGCCACCAGTTCCCTCATGACCTCCATAGAGCAACATCAGCACACACAGTCCACACTCAGGAAAACAGTTCCTGGAAACTGAATTTAGCTTAGGCTTGGGAGCAGATGCAGGCTGATTGCCATCCCTGGTCAGGGGCACTTATGGGTGTCTCCTACATATCTGCTTTGTCCCAACCGCCCCTTCCTGGAATGCTGAGGTCCCATTAATGTCAAGAGTCTCAGCATGGCCCCTCATTCCTGGCAGCACCCGAGGATAAGAGAAGGTGTGAGCACAGGTGACTCAACAAGACAGAGGACAGAGGCAATGAAACTCACTCAGGGAGGATACGGGTCACACATCAGCACAGACTTGCAGAAAGGTTGCTGTCTCGGAAAACTGCCACCGAGCCGGTGTTGTCCACGGCCACTTACGGCGCCCACCACATGCCTTCCTCCCTAGGACAGGCAACTCATTTCCACCCCTGGCCACCCAGAACTTCAGCTCCCCTTGAAACATTTGATCAGAGACCAACTGGGGACACCAGAGATACAGGTCAAGTCCTCAACAGTCATCAATCAGCTGGCCCCTTTCTATTCCCTAGAGCCACCTCAGTTTCCTGTCTCTGGCACTAAATTCTACCTTCTCAGAGTGCACAAAACCCCAGAGAAGGACTGAGTGCCCAGGTGGATTTCTATGTGTCAAAGGGAAACACAACTCTGAATTTGTGAACCCCAGGAACTCCCTAAGATGTCAACATCCTCAAGGCCAGGACAGTGCAAAGGTCAGTGACAGAGTCCTCAATAGTCTTGGATTAAAAGTAATGTCTGTGGTAATGAAATTTCATACAGAAAAGGGAGAATTCACAGGGAAGGCAGAGCTCAGAGGGTAGGAGAGAGCCAGGCTTCCTAGACACAGACTCCACGCCCACATCACATGACCCTGGGATGTGCCCTTTCCCTGGGAAGAGGCTCAGCTCAGAGGGAGACAGCACAGCAGAGCTGACCCTCCTAAGCAGCCTGCTTGGGAGCCTGTGTTGAGCCAAATTTTTCTCCACAGACGGAGGACAGAGTCCAGACCATGGAGCGCCGCACAGCCACTTCCTACAGAGGATTTGTTCCCTGGCAGGGGCTCTTGCTTACAGGTGAGAGGGGACAGTCTCTGGGAGGCTATACCAGAGGGTGAACCCCTAAACACTGACTGGGTCTGCTGAGAAGCCAGGAGTCTGAGAGACAGAGGTTTCTGTTTGGAGCAGGAGGGGAGAGAACACAAAAGAGGATCAGAAGGCTGAGGAACAGGAAATGCATAGAGCATGGGTACTAAAAAGGGAGGAGGAAAAGCTCTACTTTTCTCTGTTATAAGTTAATCATCACTAGCCACGACATTTCTATTTTACTTGGAGACAGCGTCTCACTATGCAGTTCAGGCTGGTTTGAACGGTCTGTGTAGCCCAAGCTGGACTTGAACTCACATCCATCCCTGCCTCAGCCTCCCAAGTGCTAAGATTAAGGACATCTGCCACAAAATCTGTCAGGTCACTATATTTTGAATATTGATGACAACAACAAAGTCAGGGTGACTTCAAAGAAAAGCACACTGGGGTATGAAGGGTGAAACTGGCCAACAAACCCCTGTGTACGCAAGGCTCTGGGAGCCCTCACTCCTTCCCCCACGGTATCTGAGGTGTTCCACACCCTGGGCTCCAACAGAATCAGACAGCTCCCTGTGCTCAGCGAGCTCTTGTGCTAACGGGAAGAAAACCGATCAGGAAGGTCATCTAGTAGGGGAAGTCAGGTGTTGTCAAGAGCCACAGAGGGAAGAAAGCAGGAAAAGATGAGAAACTGAAGAACCAGATCCCTATGTGAGGGGTCAGGAAGGCCTCTCTGCAAGCTGCCCTGCATGTAAGAAGGACCTCAGGGCACCGAGTGGTGAGCCATGCAGACCCCTGGGGGAGAGTGCTCCAAACAGAGGGAATGACAAGTTCAGGGGCAAGGAAGGAGTGAAGTCCCATTGCTGACCTCAGCCTAGTAAGAGACACACGCGTGCCTGCAGCAGTCACACTAAGCAATGAAAACATCTCAGGACTCAGGGCTCCATCTCTCCATCCAATAGAGTTTCTACTTTGATGAATTTCTCTCTGTCTCTCTCTTCTAGCATCACTGTTGACCTTCTGGAGCCCACCCACCACTGCTCAACTGACTATTGAATCGGTGCCTTTCGATGCTGTTGAAGGGGCAGATGTTCTTCTAGTTGCCCACAATTTGCCAGAGAACGTTTTAGGCTATTCATGGTTCAAGGGGAATACGACTGCTTCTGACAATATGATTATACGGTATGTGACAAACAATAATATCAATGTAACAGGGAAGGCATACAGCAATCGAGAGACAATATACCGCAATGGATCCCTGCTGATCCAGAACGTCACTCTACAGGACTCAGGATTCTACACCCTACGAATCACAGATGAAACTTTAGACACTAAAGACACATATGGACAGTTCCACGTACACCGTAAGTTATTCTCAATGATTTGTGGGTGTGGGATGGGGTCAATCCACTTCCTGTACACACAAAACTGTCAGTCTCGGACAGTGCACACATACACACCCCCACCCCCACCATGTTACACCCTATGTTGGGCTTTGAACATAGAGTGCAGGACACATACAGTGCCAATGAACTTTGATAGACTGGAATCCTTTACCTGAATCTCCCTTGCAGAGGGAAGGAGAGTTGGATGGAGTAACCTGACCCAGGAAGAAACTCTCAGTCCAGCCCCCAAGTGGCCTCATTTTTACATGACCCTGAGTGACTCTGAGGAAGTCTTGTATCCCCTGCTTCAGACCTCTGTCCCAGGCTCCTCACTCCAAGTGGTCCTGGGCTTTATGCTCAGGTGAGACTTGGACCCACTGTTTAGGGATGATCGGGAACAATAACTGACTGGCTGTCTGAATCTCATAGTTTCTTCGAGCTGGTCCCTAGAGCAGCCAAGGCACAACCCCAAGAAACACATCTCAGTAAGGGGACCTGGCAGTTCTCTGACATGTGGCATAGATAGCACAGAGGGACAGGTGCCTTAGGCCACAGCTAAGGTAACTGACTCATGAGAACCCACAAGAGGCCCAGGTGCCCAAGGGGAAGAACAGAGGAGAATGAAACTTTTGGAAGTTCCGTGTTCACTGGGATCGGTTCCAATTTACTTTGTGTGGAGGCAAGTAATTACATGCTGCTCATTTAGGCAACTACTCTAGGCCAATGGCAGGTAACTGTGAGTATTTCAGATTAATTTACTGACAATGGGGCAAAACAGGTATCATTTCCTATGTATCATATATTAAGGAGAAAAAGGCACAAGAAAATACAGTTGCTGGACCAGGGTCACACACACCATGGATAGCAGCTCAGATGCATTATCCACTTGCATATAAACACAGCCCTGTCCTCTCTACCCTGGAAGGTTTAGTAAGTGTCTGTGAATCAGAGTGTAGTTACTGATTCATGTCTTTTATTCTTAATCATCACCAGCTCAGAGAGGGTCTCATTGGACCAATGAGATAAAATGTAGAATTAATAAATTTTTACTCTAGAATTAAATCACCTACTTCAATGTAATGTTTAAGGCTTCTTGCTCAGGAGACCAAAATAGCCTCCCTCACTAGACAAAGTCCTAACTTCCTGATGTGGTGAGGATCACTTCCCTGGAGTATAAAAGAAATTGCTTTGCTCTCTCACTTCCCATAAGACCATGAAGCCAACATGCTCAATTTATAGCCAATTCAATAGTTTTGAGATGAATGAGGGAAAAGAATAAGCAGTAAATGAGTGAATGACCTAGATCCTTTCAGAGCCTGGGACTTGCACGCAGCATCCTGAAAGGTTCTAGCCACGGTAGCTGCCTGTCCTGCTCACAGGCTGAGATACTTTTCCTCTTCCTCTGATCACCTGCTCCTCATGCCACCCCAGGTGCCACCTCACATAATGATGCTGGAGCTGCTGGGCTGGGGAAGCCTTACAAGAGTGCTCTGATTGGTTCTGACGTAGCAGAGGATCTCTTGGTCTCTGGTATCTGTGAAGTCACTGAAACTTCACTGCTCCCCGCCTTGGGCATTTCCGGCTATCTCAGCTCTATCCCTGTCCCTCATCTTCCTCCCCATCATTCAAGCCCTGCCCTGCTCAGCTTGCTGCATCCTTCATCCCAGGCTCATGGCTGATGATCCTGCTTCCTCTCACTAACACCTGGGGCCAGGCCCACCCTTCTGGACAACAGTAAAGGCCACAAACCAGTAATAGGAGCTCACCTTTTAAGGCTCTGTCATAAGGAAATGTTCCTAGCCATGTCTGAGCCTCCACTGTGCCCTGAACCGTGCCCTGCACTGGGGCTCTCTCCTTCTTTAGAACCAGTGGGTAGTATAGACCACAAGATAGGGCCTAGCATGTCGTCTGTCTATACTGACTCAGCCCGGGGGTCAGAGGCAGAGGGACAGAACTGCAAGGACCAAATCCCTAGGCTTGTTCCACCCATCTGACTCCTGACTCCATCCTGCTCCCCACGTGGGGCTCATACTCCTTCGAAGTCCCTCCCCCACCTGCTTCAGAGGATGCTGCCCTGACAAGCACTGTTTGAAAGGTTTGATGCCTGGGTCACTGACACTGCTTTCCCCATGAAAGTACAGTACCCATCACAGGTGGGTACTGTAGCACGGTAAGATGCATCGTCATATTCATTAGAATCTGTCTGATCTGGAAGAATTTAAAAAAAAACTTAGTGGGGATTCCTGGGGTCTTAAGAAAGGACAGAAAGATTTTACATGCCTAGTTGGACTCCTACCTACTTTGCCTCATTCTGAGAAGCAACTTGCTATAAAGTCTTCTAATGCTACTACTACCATGTGTCACATCTTGAAAGTTGCTATCATCCCTCATTTTATATTAGGGATTCCTCAGACTTCCACTCTTACTAGATCTGTTCTCCCAATAAGGCTCACGGGGCTCAACATCAAGGAGTAGCAGTTTCAAACTAGCCAGTTTGAAACTATCTGATAGGACCCAAAAAGTCTTTAGAGCTGGATCTAAGATCCTGTGGTTCTCCTAGAGAAATTTTTTTTCAGGAATTTGGCTTAGATTCATGGGTAGAAATAAAACTTTTCCCAGAGCAATAATTTAATATCTGAAATTTCTGTCCAAACATTTCAGAGCCCACAGGTTCCTCATCTTCCACCTGTAGTGGAAAGAGCAACACTAAACACCAAGGACAAGAAACTGATTCAGCTAACATTTGTCTGTCCCCCTCTAGATCATTCATTAGACTCAGGTTCATGTCAGCCATCATCAAATCCCTGAGAAGAATCCCGCCACATTTTTCCCTCAGCCTGAAACCAGTGCTCAATGCCAGGCTTGGTATTGCTCCTCTTGTGTGTGATTGCTGCATACAACCATCCTCAGTCCAGGCTGTGGGATCTTCTGTAGCTTTAACCTCAATGGCAGATCCCATCAGGAAACATCTCAAAAACAGCCTTGCAGAACAAAGCCTCACAGGAAACACCCAAAGCTGAGCAATGGAGGGAAGCAGCACACACATGACCCAAGGCAAACCAGGTGGCTGGTGGTGAGGACAGGAGAGGAACTAGGGCTCCATCCATGACCAAATATTGCAGCTTGGTTTCCACGTGAAAGGCCTGTGCTGTTCCCAGACAATATGTAGCTGGTCTCATGTCCTCTGAGTGCTCAGGTCCTCATGCACCTGCCTGTGAGATGCATTCCTGTCTGGTCCTTTAAAGACTCAAGTTGCCTAAGAAGTAAGACAGCTCCACTCTGGGGTGAAATGCCTTTGCCCAGATCAAAGGCACCACCTGAGGCAATCTTCTCTCTGTTTTCTGCACAGCAATCTTACCCAAACCCTACATCACAGTCAACAACTCCAGCCCTGTGGAGGGTGAAGAAGCCATCGCACTGACATGTGAACCCGAGACTCAGAACACAGCCTACCTGTGGTGGATAAATGGTCAGAGCCTTCAAGAAGGTGATAGGCTGAAACTATCTGATGGCAACAGGAGTCTCATTTTGTTGAATGTCATGAGGAATGACACAGGACCCTATGAGTGTGAAACCCGGAATCCAGTGAGTTTCAACCGAAGTGACCCAGCCTTCCTGAATATTTCCTGTAAGTAACTTATATTCTATGTGATCCCAACTAATCACCCAGTAAGCGGAGCCAGAGACAGAGCCAGCCCAGTCAGTCTCTCTGTCAAGTCCAGAAAACAGGTCTTACTCTTGGACACGGGCTTGCCACAGCATCCTGACCCTGCCATCCACACTGGCTGAACATTCACAGAGGACAGGGGCTCCAACTGTCTGCATAGATTCATTTTACCACTTGATATGTAAAAACAGGGTGATGACTCAGGCTCAAGCAGCACAGAGGGATATGACCGGGACATTTTTCTGTATACATAATGCTGTGGATGGAACCAGGGCCTGATGCACCCTAGGCAGGTGCTGAACCATGAAGCTTCACCCTCTCATCTGGTTGGGATGTTTTCATACCAAGGTTGTGACATGGCTCAGAAGGACACGTAGCATTCTACAAGCTAGGAACTTCCCTTTCCCTCTGATAAAGTCTTATTCAATGTTATTCTGTTTATTCCAGATGGTCCAGATGCTCCCATCATATCACCCCCAGAGTCATATTTCCGTCGAGGGACAAACCTCAGCCTCTCCTGCCATGCAGACTCTAACCCACCCGTACAGTATTCCTGGCTTGTCAACGGGAGCCTCCTGCAATCCACGCAGGAGCTTTCTATCCCAAACATCTCTGTAGATGATAGTGGATCTTACACCTGCCTCGTCTCTAACCCTGCCACTGGCCTCAATACGAGCACAGTCAAGGATATTACAGTCATTGGTAAGTGGATCATAGAGGGCCAGCACCAAGCTCTGGAATAGTGTTTTGGTTTTCTGGAAATAGTGGGAAAGAAATCACTTCCCAGCCTGTGTCCACAGATACAGGCAAATATCTATCCTCCCTGAGCATTCTGCCCCATCCTCGAGACTCTCCTCCCCTTGCCTGCCTGATTCCTCAAGGCTGAGCTGCGGTTCAACCTGGAATGGGTGACGGTTCTGCTCATAGAAGAAAGCCCCAGAGAGGGTAGAAATTCACAGAATCGGTGGGTAGCATTAAGGTCAAGGAGCTTCTTTCACTAACTCCTTCCTTCCATCATCTCTGTTTCTTTAACCTCCATGAGCTATAAGGAACCTAGAAGCTAAAAGAGCTTGGAAACATCTTTGCACTGTTTTTCTCCAATAAGAGGAGGAAATCCCTCTTGGACAGGGCACAGCGGCTCACAGCTCTGCTCCAGCTCTGTTCCAGTCTCACCCAGGGACTGGCTCTACCCTGACTCTCTCTGGGGTGGGACAGGACAGGTGGAAAATGGATCTGGGTGGCCTGTCCTTGGTCTGCTATATCATGTCCCCAGTGGACATCTGAAGCACCCAGATGGATAAGGAAATGAAAAAAATGTACCTTGGGACCAGTGCCTTTGAGCTGGGTCCTGGCTCTGAAGTCCCAGGTGTCGCACGCTGAGGACACAATTGCAGGTCGTGCACCATGGAGAGCAGGCAGTGTCGCATACTTGGAAACAGGGGAGCATCACTGTGGAGTCCTATATGGAGGGAAGGACAGGGCCAAGGGCTATATGTGCCCAGAAGGATGCCAGCCTTTTGTGAACACCATGACAATTTAACTCTGCTGATTTCCTTCACTGTGGTATTTATTCCACAGGTCAGGGAATAAAAGTTCTTTTCAAACTGAGATGTTCTTCAGACTGCAGGTAGCTCAGCTGTTACTATCACAGAAAGCACTGACATAACATCATGAAAAAGTCAGTGTGAGGCTATGATGGCTTTCTCTCATGAAAACCCAACCTGCCTTCCCTAGAGTGGTCTTTATTTTATTTCATCATTTACTGAGCCCAAGCTAGCTCTGCAGAGTCAACTGGCCCTTCTCCACTGTTCATTTTCACTTTCTCAAATTTAAAACAAGAAAGAAAAGGTGGATGGGAAAAATGCAAACTTCCATGGAGATTTCCAGACATGTTGCTTAATAACAGGTTACTAACATGGATCCTTCAAAGAGGTCTAGGGAAGCTGATGGGCCTCCCTGGGTGTGCTGGGTGCAGACTGAGGGATAGCCTGCTCCTTACTGTCACCTGAGCCAAGGCATGCACCATCTGGAGAGAGTCACAGCTGTCCTGTGAGTCACGGGACAGCACTCACAGTGGCCAGGAGTTGGCTGAATATCTGAGGGAAGGGCACAGCTAGGCGCCCCGCCCAGTCTCAGGCTATTCCTTCCTCTGTCCACAGCACCTGTGATGCAACCCTTCATCCAGGCCAGCAACACCATCATCACAGAAAATGATTCTGTGGTCCTCACCTGCCTCTCAAATGACACTGGCATCTCCATCCAGTGGATCATCAATAACCAGGATCTGCAGCTCTCAGAGGGGATGAAGCTGTCTGAGAAAGACAGCATACTCACCATCCACCCTGTCAAGATTGAGGATGCCGGGGAGTATCAGTGTGAGGTCTCCAACCCGGTCAGTTCCTACAGGAGCCACCCCCTCAGACTGGATGTTTTCCGTGAGTGACTTCTCCCCTCCTACTTCTTCTGGAGAGAATTTCTCACCCAGTAATATGCAAGATGGATAAAAGTCACAGGGAATGTATCAGTTGAGACACAAATGTAGTAAAAAGACTTGCAAATTGGTTCAGAGCTTTGGCTCTGACTCCAGTCACCCCCAGTCTTCACAGGGAGTTTGTTCCAGGAGCCCCACAGACACCAGCATCTGTGGATACTCTAATGCCTTATGTTCAAAAGTCACATTTACGTGTGACTGTGAGAATTCTCCCATATATTCTTTTTAGGTATATTTTTGGACTAGTATTCAAGCCTAGAGCATTCCAACCGAGCTACCTCCCTACACTTTTTTATTTCTCTCTTTTTTTGATATTTTTGGGTGTTGTTGTTGTTGTTGTTGTTGTTGTTGTTGTTTTTAGTATCAGGGATGGAACTCACAACTTGAAGCCTGCCAGGCAGGCACTGTGCTACTGAGTTGAATCCCCAGACTATTTCTTTAGCTTTTTCATTATCGTTGTTTATTTTGAGACAGTCTTATTAGGTCACTAAGTTGCCAAGATTGCTAAAAATCTTGTGATTTTTTGGCCTCAGCCCCACAGAATGCCAGCTCTATAGATAGAAGCCACCAGACTCAGTTCTCCACATACTTTAAATCACCACTAGATTATTTCCAATACCCAATACAATGTAAATAATTCTTGTGCTCCATTATTTAAACAATAATAACAAGAAAAGTATCTGTGCATTTTCCATGTGGACCCATTTTTTTCTGAGGAGTTTCAAACCTCAATAGTTACTCAAATCCATGGATGGCAGAAAGCCAACCATAATGAGTTTCTTATCCTGAGTTTGGCATTTGTTGTGTCACTTTGCAAAAGATTTTTTTTGGTCTATTATTCTGTAAACATTGCTTTTCTGTGTGGTAAAATATACGTAAGACTCATTATTTTAACCATTTTGAAATGCATGGTTTCTAACATTCCATACATTCATCTTGCTATGTGACATTGTCACTATCCATTTCCAGAACTTTTGCATCCTGCTACACTAACACTTTATACTCAGTATACAGCAACTCCCCATTCCACCACTGCCCCAACCTAGGGTAACCGCATCTAATACTGTGATAGTCTATAGTACGGATATACTGCTTTATGAGGTGTACCTCATTTGGCTTATTCATTCAACCATCAATAGAATTTAGTGTTGTTCCCATCTTTGGTTTGTTAATAATTCTACTATGAAAAAATATGCAAACATCTGCTCAAATACTTCATATCTTTCAGGTATATACCCACCTGTAGAATTATCAGATGAGAAACGTTTTGTTTGTTTTGTTTTGTTTTGTTTTGTTTTGTTTTGGTGAGGAAGCCCTATACTGACTTTCACAGTGACTGCCCCATTTCACAGTCCAAACTACCCACATGCACACAGTCCTGATTTCTCTACAGCCTCACAAACACTTGTGTTTTCATGAGAGATATCCTATTGTGTATTAGGTGGCTTTGATTTGCACTTCCCTAATAACTAATGACATGGTGAAACTTTTCATAGACTTACTGGTCATTTTTAGATCTTTTTGGAGAAATGGCTGCTCAAGCCTGTTGCCAATGTTTTACTTGGATTGTCTGGTGTTTTTTTTTTATTTTATTTAAGGAGAAAAAGAAAAAAAAAGAAAAAGTGTACAAGTTATACAGAATTTCAGAAAAAATAAACAGTAGGAAATCACTTGTTAATAGATTACATATTGTTATCTTAGAAATAGTTGTTCAAGTTACAAAATTAAAGCATATAAAGTAGACTTTCAAACAGTGAGACTGCAGACAGTTCTGTTCAATGATCCAACAAAACTCAGTAATATGGTTATCTATCTTATACATTTAAATATACATGTAGTTATATCCTTTAGAGCACTTTCTTTTCCTCTCTTTTGTACAATGACAATTACACATTTTGGTTTTTATTACTCCCACAGTTCTTGTTACTTTTTTTTGAAGAGAATAAAACCAAATGTGACGTAACAAAACAGAGTCAGTCAAATCAAAAGGATGGACATAACACATAATGTAAAAACAAAATACAAGGTGATCAACAATGGTTACCATACTGCCTCTTGCTATCCTAAAAAGAATTGCCTATAATAAAATTGAACAAAACAGTAAAGATCAAAACCAATAAAACCAAAACACTGGAGACATTACAGGACTTCATAAGAAGATAATAATCAACCAGAATGGGTGTCATAATGAATGTTACTGTCTTCACAGTTGTTGCCTATACTTTTGAACTTGGTACTATCAAGCAAAGCAGAATAGAGGAAAATCAGTCAAAACAAGATGGTGAGAGCAATACAGGGTTTCAAATCAAGCTAATAGGAAATTAAAGTGGGTTACTATAATATAACCTGCTATTTTTTATTTATTTTTCCCTTAATTAAAAAGATAAAAATAAAAAGGGAGATTGAGATAAAAGAGGGCATAACAACAAAACAGTGCATGTCAAAACATAACCATTTAAGCAAAATAGTGTTTCAACACAAGATATCCTGACATAAAAGTAGTTACCATAGTGTCTCTTTCCTTGAAATCTTTGAGTATAACTTCGTATACTGTAGCACCAAACATATCAAGACAATGCAAAACCATTCAAGAGAATGACAGTATTACAGTATTACAGAATCAACTAACAAAAAATGAACAATGGCTTCTGTATAATCTCCTTGTCTATAAAAGTTTTTGTTTATATCATCACATATAATAAAATCCAATAAGATACAATATGTTAAGACCAATGGAGACAGAAGAACAAAAGCTGGATGGGACTTCAAAACAAGATGATATTAAATCAGCATTAGCTATTATGATGTCTTGTTTTCTCCAAAATAGCTGCCATCCAACCTTCTCTGCCTCATTTCTGTTGAGCTCTTTTTCTGTCATTAGTTGTCAGATTGTCTTCTTCATTTTGCTTTCTGCTCCATTCATTGTGGCCTCTCTGCCACTGTTTCTGGAATCCTGATATTTTTCTTTTTATAGAATGTCCTGAGTATTCTCTGTAGAGTTGAATTGGTGGTTGCAAATTCCCCTAGTTCCTCTTTATCCTGAAAGCACCTTGCTTTTCCATCAATTTCTAGGGATAGTTGTGTAGGATACATCAATCTTGGCTGGAGGTTATTATCTTTCAAAGCTTGAATTATTTCCCCCCACACTCTTCGTGATTTGATGGTTTGTGCCGAGAAGTCTGCTGTAATTCTGATGGGTGTTCCCTTGTAAATGGTCTGTTTCTTATCTCTGATGGCTTTTAATATTCTTTTCTTATATTGGATTTCTGGAATTTTGATTATTATATGCCTGGGTATAGTTCTGTTTGGGTTGTAGGTGGCTGAGGTCTGTATGCCTCATACATCTGAGTATCTTTACCTTTTGCTAAATTAGGGAAATTCTCCTGGATTATTTCTGTGAATAGCTTTTGTAGTCCATTTGTTTGTTTCCCTACTTCTTCTTTTATGTCCTTAATTCTTAAGTTATAGATCATCTTATCATCTTCTAGCCTTTGTACTATTGCTGTTTGTTTTCTTGTTATTTTTAAGAAGTTTTTCATTTCATGCTCCCACCTTACAAATCTGCCCTTTAGTTCAGATAATCTATCCTTAGTTTCTTTCAAGCTGTTATGCCAGTTTTTGATAGAGTTTTTAGTTTCCTGGTAATCTCTTTGAACCTGCTTCATGTATTCTGTTTTCTCTATTTTCTCCATCAAGCAATTGTCCCCTTTTTTTCTGTTCTTCCATTCCATCATCTGTTTTTTCTTGGGTGGTGCTTAGCATTTCTCTATCCTTTTATATCTTGCTTTATTTCATTAAATTTCACTTTTGAACTCATCTGTGAGGCTCCGGAGATATCACTTTATGTCTATTGGTGCCGTGTCTGATATTGCATGTTTGTTTTTTGTCCTCATTCTCCTTTGCACTTACCTTTCCTGGATCAGTGTTCTCAGGATTGGGGACTGAGGACCCTTTCTTGTTGCTCCCTCTTCCCATACTTTTTGTTCCTTCCATACAAGCATATATGTAGGAGGCCCAGTTTTTTTCTTTGTGGGTTACAGTTTGTCTGAATCTGCCAGCTAGGTGTTCCCGTCCACTGCAGTATACTAGGGAGACACAGACCTAGGCAGTCTTTGCTGGGCCCGCCCCTCCAGGTCAACCTAGTGAAGGCTCCACTGCTAGGGTGCACCGTGAGGCACTGGGACCTGGTTTGGGCTAGCCTACTGGGTCTTAGTCAATGGCGTCGTCCAGGCCAAATGCTCCACACCAATCCTGCTTGAGAGGGGAATATGTGATTAAAGTCACTGCAGTGTCCTGTTCCAGCTAGTCTGCCCAGTCCCAGAATGTCCTCTGTTGGAGCCTCCCAGTCTGCAGAAGGGTTCCCCTTCCTCTCACTCACTGCAGGTCAATACAGGGCTCCCACCAGTCCCACTCTCAACTCCGTTCACCGATTCCCACTCTCAGACCTTTCTCACATCTCTCTCCCTGCTATGCCAATTATGATTTTCAGAGGCGCGGGTTCCAGCTTCCGCGCTGGGATTTTATCTGTTCTGGTTATAGCACTGGGATTGCATTTCCAGTTGGTTTCTCTCAACATAGTTCGCTCCTGGGTTGGCAGGGTATATCTCCCCTTGCTTAGGAGTCCTCACATTGCACCATTCCTGGATTCTAAGCTGGGTATCTCAGAGAGCCACTGTAGCTGCTGTTATCTATCCGCCAGGTTCTCCCCTGGTATTTTTCTTTTGTTAACCTGTAATAATTTTGTCATTTCATTTTTTGAGATAAGGTCTCATTATGAACTCCAGGCTGGCCTTGAACTTACAATAATCCTCTGCCTCAGACTCCGCAGTTCTAGGAGGACAACTAGCCACCAAGTTTGATAGTACTACAAACAGAGTTGTGTGATGTTTACAATGTGATTTTCTGTTATTTCTCCATGATGGAAAATGACTGAACCAATATGGTAATGCATCACACTCTTATCTATGATTTGTACAGGAAAATATTTGATAAGCTCTATGCTACTACTTTGAAACATACATTATCATATACTGTAACCAATCTGCTGTACAAAATATCTCAAAACATGTTCCTCTCGTCCATCTGAAACTTTGAAGCACTGACCAACTTCCCATTCACCTCCCCCACTACTGCCCAAACGCTCCCAGCCGTCACTCTGCTCTACATTTCATTATTTCAGTATGTTTTAGATTCCACATATGGGATAGCTCATGCATTATTTCTCTTCCTGGGTTTGCCTTAGTTCACTCAACCAGGTTTATCCATGCTACCGGAATCACAGACTCCCTTTTCCAGGCTCAACATATTCCACTGTGTGCACAGACCACATACTCTTTATTCCTTCATGCAAGATGGACACTTAGTTTGCATATTTCAGCATTGTAAATATTACTGCATTTAAACAGCAGTGTAGTTATGTCTCCAAAAGATGACTTCAAATGCTTTGTACATGTATCCAAATAACAGTTTCTGGGTCATAGGTAGATAACATCCTTGCACGCAAAGAAACTTCTAATCTTCATGAGGTACAACCTATCTATTTTTTTCTTAGTGCTGTTGCCTATGCTTTTGCTATAGAGCCAAGAAATCATAGCCCAGTCCAACATCATGAAGCTTTGCTCTGTATCTGCTGTTAAGAATAGTACAGGTTGCCGGGTGTGGTGGCGCGTGCCTGTAGTCCCAGCTACTCGAGAGGCTGAGGTGGGAGGATCGCTTGAGTCCAGGAGTTCTGGGCTGCAGTGCGCTATGCGGATCGGGTTTCCGCACTAAGTTCGGCATCAATATGGTGACCTCCCGGGAGCGGGGGACCACCAGGTTGCCTAAGGAGGGGTGAACCGGCCCAGGTCGAAAACGGAGCAGGTCAAAACTCCCGATCGCGCCTGTGAATAGCCACTGCACTCCAGCCTGGGCAATATAGTGAGACCCTGTCTCTTAAAAAAAAAATAAAATAAAATAAAGAATAGTACAGGTTGAGCTGTCACATTTAGGTGTTTGATCCTTTTGGAATTAATTGGCCTATATAATGTTAGGTAAAGATTCTGCTTCTTTCATTTGCATGGATATTCTGCTTTCTCAACATCTTTGTCAAAAAGAGAAAACCTTCCTTTCTGCATGGAACAGTACAATTCCTCATCAAAAATAGCTCGTGACTTATTCATTATGTTGTACAGGTAGCCATAGTGCTTCCACTTCACCCCTTGTAAATTTGGCTTTGAAAGTTGTGGCAGAACTTTTTTGTTTTTGTTTTTTCAAATATCCCTCATTACTTTCTCCCTTACTAACATATTTTAGGTAGGGGACTGTCTGTGTGATTAACTGAAAGCCTTCTTTTCTAGCATTCCTTTCCAAGACTCGGTTACTTGACTGATGTGGCTAATGAGGCCTTATGAGAAGTTGCTATATGGTGAAAGCTTGCTAAAATAGTGTTGACCCTGCCGGGCATGGTGGCACACCTGTAATCCCTAACACCCTGGCAGGCTGAAGCTAGAAGATCAGAAGTTTGAGACCAGCCTAGGCAACTTTTCGATTTAGGAGGCCCTGCAGTTTTATAAGTAAGCAATTTGTAAAGCCTAATATGTGATTTAATAGCTCAGTGGGAATTATTATGCATCATAAAAACTAATTCTTTCAGAACAGCTGAGATAGATACTTTTTCCCCTATTTAGGAGGATATAGATACTTATTTTCTCTTTTGCTTTTTATTAGTAAAGGTTATGGAGCAATTTTGTGCTAATGGAGTCACACTAATGAAGCATATTTTCAATATATTACCAAGGATGAGGCATTAGTTTAATTTTTGTAAAGCTCTTGTACAGAAAAGGCAATCCTTTTAAAAATTTCATTAGGTTTTTGGCATATACAAAGGATTTATTTATATTACTCTGCATCTCTTGTTTACCTTGAAATTATAATACACTTTTATGCCTTTCCTGTACATGACTGATGTTTCTTAATGAGTGAAAGAAACTAAAATAAACAGAATACTCAACAAAAAAAAAAATAGCTCGGATACTGGAGTACAGTTGAATAAACACAATAGCTTCTAGTATCCTTTAGCACAGCAGGATAACTAAATTAGACCGTGTTTACTTCTGCATTGCAAAATAAGTAGTAAAAACAATTTTCAATGTTCCCAACACAAGGCTGGATAAACGTTGAGGTGAAAGAGCTGCCACTTGCCCTGACCTGGTTGTCACACATTGTATACATGCAGTAAGTGCACATTGTACCCCACACTGAGGTGTTCTTCTTACAAAGCAATTGACATTTTTAAATACTTTAAAGTCATTTGGCCAATCATTGGAGCGTTCATTAGTGGGACTTGCAATGTGTTTAACTGATAATGTATGTTTATTCATGCTGGTAGCACACTGTTTGGATTACTGTAGATTTGTACTAAATTTTGAAATTAGGCAGTGTGAGTGCAAATTACCTCTTCACTTTGAGAGTCATCTTACATATTTGGGGTCTCTTGAGATTACACAGGAATTTTAGGATGCATTTTTCAATTTCTGCAAAAAGTATCCCTGGGTTTTCTTTGTTTAACTAATGGTATTTAAACTGAGGGACTTCACACTGAGCTACATCCCCAGCAACTACCATCATCCTCTATTTTACTCAGGGTCTCACAGAGTTGTTAAATTGCCTAAGCTCAGCTTAAATTTGTCATCATCCTGGTTCACCCTCCCACAGTGCTTGATTTACAGGATGCACCATGACAACCATCTGAAAATGTCACTGAGCTTTCCATAGCACTCACGTTGAATCTATAAATCATTTCCAGTAATATTTTCATCTTAACAACATTGAGTCTTCCAATACCTAAACACTGGTAAGGTATGGGGACACAAACCTGTAATCCCAGCACTTCCAGACAGGAATCAAAGCAACACCAACCTCAACTACACAGTAAGACCCTGATTCAAAAAAATAAAAAGAATAACATCCTTTTACACACTGTTTAATATTTTCAGCAGAGTTTTGTAGTTTTGTTGGTACAGGTCATTCAACTCCTTGATAACACTGAGTACTAAGGACTGAACACAGGGTCCTTTCGTTAAGGTAGATCACCAATGTTTTTGTTTTAGTTTTGTTTTGCTTTGGACACTGGCTGACAAGCACATTTTGAAGGGCTTGCTGCCTGGTTTCCCCATGAAGACACCATCATCACAGGCAGGTCCTTCAACACAGTGAAATGCACCAGCCATCAACATTTTCATTACTATCTGTCTGATCTGGAAGAATTTAATAAAACCCTAGAGGGGATCCCTTGGGTCAAAAAAAAGATAGAAAGATTTTACAGGCCTAGCTGGGCTCCTGCCTACTTTGCATCATTCCCAGAAGCAACTGAGAATATGGACTTCTAACGTTACTAATGCGATGTGCCACTTCTGGGAAGTTGCTATCATGCCTCCTTTTACACCAGAGATGCCTCCAAATTCCCCTCTGATTAGCTCTGTCCACCCAACAAGGGCACAGGGCTCCTCATCAGGGAATGGCCAGTTTCAAACTAGCTTCAAGAACTATCTGATGTGACCCAAAAAGTCTTCAGAACTTCATCTAAGAGCCTGTGGTTCTCCTAGACAAATACTTTGCTCGGGAATTGTGCTTAGATTCATGGGTAAAAATGAAATTTTTTCACAGAGCAGTAGTTTATTATCTGAAATTGTTGTTCAAATCTGTCAAACCCCACAGGATCTTAATCTTCCATCTCCAGTGGAAAGAGGGACATTAAACACCAAGGACAAGAAGTTGATTCACCTCTCTAAAATTTCTCTGTCCCTTTCTGACTCTCCGAAAACATTCATTAGACTTGTGCTCATGTCAGTCCCCATCAAACACCTGGAGAGAATCTCGCCACATTTTGCCCTCAGCCTTAACCTAAAGCTGAATGCCAGGCTTGGTATTGCTCTCCTTGTGTGTGATTTCTGCACACAACAATCCTCAGTCCGGTTGGTAGGGTCTTCTGTAGGTTTAAGCACACTGGCAGATCCCATCATGACCCAACTCAAGCACAGCCTTGCAAAACAAAGCCTCACAGGAAACACCCAAAGCTGAGCAGTGGAGGTCTCCGCAGCTAGCCGATCTCAGTTCACATAACACAAGGCCACCAGGTGGCTGGTGTCAAGGACAGGAGAGAAACTAGGGTTCGATCCATGCCAAAATACTGCAGCTTGCTTCCCACGTGAAAGGCCTGTGCTGTTCCAGTGACTATGTAGCTGGTCTCATGTCCCCTGAGTGCTCAGGTCCTCATGAGCTACCTGTGAGATACACTCCTGTTTGGTCCTTTAAGGACTCAAGTTTCCTGAGAGGAGAGAGAGCTCCAGTCTGGTGGAAAATGCCTTTGCCCAGATGAAAGGCACTACATGAGGCAATCTTCTCTCTGCTTTCTGCACAGGGATCCTACCCAAACCCTACATCACAGTCAACAACTCCAGCCCTCTGGAGGGTGAGGAAGCCGTAGCACTGACATGTGAACCCGAGACTCAGAACACAACCTACATGTGGTGGATAAATGGTCAGAGCCTTCAAGAAGGTGATAGGCTGAAACTGTCTGATGGCAACAGGAGTCTCATTTTACTGAATGTCACAAGGAATGACACAGGACCCTATGAGTGTGAAACCCGGAATCCAGTGGCTTTCAACCGAAGTGACCCAGTCTCCCTGAATATTTCCTGTGAGTAACTTGTATTCTACTGTGGTCCCAACTAATCACCCAGTATGGGGAGACAGAGACAGAGGCCAGCCCAGTCAGTCTCTCTGTCAAGTCCAGAAAACAGGTCTCACTCTTGGATGCTTGGGCTGGCCATAACATCCTGACCCTGCCTTCCATACTGGCTGAATACTCACAGAGGACAGGGGCTTCTCCTGTCTGCATAGATTCACTTTATCACCTGATGTGTAAAAATAGGGTGAGACTCAGGATCAGGCAACACAGAGGATAGGACCAGGATGTTTTTCTGTGTCCCTAGTACTGGTGATGGAACCAGGATCTGATGCACCCTACACAGGTGTTGAGCACCAGAGCTGCACACCTCATCTGGTTGGGATATATTCTTGTCAAGGTTGTGACATGCCTCAGAAGGATACTCAGCCTTATACAAGCCAGGAGCTTCCCCTTCCCTCAGATGAAGTCACGTATGGCTTTAATCTGTTTATTCCAGATGGCCCAGATGCTCCCATCATATCACCGCAAGAGTCACATTTCCGTCAAGGGACAAACCTCAGCCTCTCCTGCCACGCAGACTCCAACCCACCTGCACAGTATTTCTGGCTTGTCAACGGGAGCCTCCTGCAATCCACGCAGGAGCTCTCTATCCCTAACATCTCTGCAGATGATAGCGGATCTTACACCTGCCTCGTCTCTAACCCTGCCACTGGCCTCAATAGGAGCACAGTCAAGGATGTTACAGTCATTGGTAAGTGGATCATAGAGAGACAGAGCAAGCTCTGGAATAGTGTTTTGGTTGTCTGGAAGCAACAGGATAAAACTCACTTCCCAGCCTGTGTCCACAGACATAAGAAAATCTCCATCCTCCCTGAACATTCTGTCCCATCCCCAAGACTGTCCACCTCTTGCTTGTCTGACTCCTCATGGCTGAGCTGGAATTCAGCCTGGAATATGGAGAGGTGGTTCTGCTCATAGCAGAAAGCCCCATGAAGTGGATAGAGATTCACAGAATCGGTGGGTATCATTGAGCTCAAATAGAATCTTTCACTAATTAACTCCCTCCTTCTGTCATCTCTGTTTGTTAAACTCTTCCATGAGCAATAAGAAACCCACAGGGCGTGGAAACACCTTTGCACTGTTTTTCTCCAATGAGTGGCGGAAATCCCTCTTGGACAGGGCACAGCGGCTCACAGCTCTGCTCCAGCTCTGTTCCAGTCTCACCCAGGGACTGGCTCTACCCTGACTCTCTCTGGGGTGGGACAGGACAGGTGGAAAATGGATCTGGGTGGCCTTTCTTCGGTCTGCTATATCATATCCCCAGTGGACAACTGAAGCACCCAGGCAGGTAAGGAACTGAAAAAGTGTACTGCAGGACCAGTGTCTCTGAGCTGGGTCCTGGCTCTGAAGTCCCGGGTGTCTCACGCTGAGGACACAAGTGCAGGTCATGCACCATGGAGAGCAGGCAGTGTCGCATACTTGGAGACACGGGAGCATCACTGTGCAGTCCTGTATGGAGGGAAGGACAGGGTCAGGCTATACATACTCAGAATGATGACAGCCTTTTGAGAACACCATGATAATTTATCTCTGCTGATTTCCTTCACTGTCCACAGGTCAGGGAATAAAAGTCCTTTTCAAACTGAGATGTTCTTCAGGCTACAGGTGACTCAGGTTTTACTGTCACAGGAAACACTGGCCAAACATCCTACTAAAGTCAGTGGGAGGCTGTGGTTGCTTTCTCTCATGAAAACCCACCCTGCCTTCCCCAGACTGGTCTTTAGCTTGTTATTTCATCGATTACTCAGCCCAAGCTTGCTCTGCAGAGTCACCTTGCCCATCTCCACTGTTCACTTTTACTTTCTGAAATTTAAAACAAGAAAGAAAAGGTTAATGGGAAAAACTATTCAAACTTCCATGGAGATTTCCAGACATGTTTCCTAATAACAGGTTCCTAACATGGATCCTTCAGAGAGGTCTAGGGAAGCTGATGTGCCTCCCATGTGTGTGAGTTCAGAGGGAGGGAGAGCCTGCTCCTTACTGTCACCTGAGCCAAGGCATGCAACCTCTGGGGAAGGTCACAGCTGTCCTCCGAGTCACCATACAGCACTCACAGTGGCCCAGGGAGTTGGTTGAATATCAGAGGAAAGGGCACAGCTAAGTGCCAGGCCCAGGCTCAGTCTGTTCCCTCCTCTGTCCATAGCACCTGTGACAAAACCCTACATCCATGCCAGCAACACCATCATCACAGAAGATGATTCTGTGGTCCTCAACTGCCTCTCTAATGACACTGGCGTCTCCATCCAGTGGATCTTCAATAACCAGGATCTGCAGCTCTCAGAGGGGATGAATCTCTCCGAGAACAACAGCACCCTCACCATCGACCCTGTCAAGATTGAGGATGCCGGGCAGTATCAGTGTGAGGTCTCCAGCTCGGTCAGTTCCAACAGGAGCGACACCCTCTGGCTGCAAGTTTTCAGTGAGTGACTTCTCTCCTACTCTTCTGGAGAGAATTTCTCACCCAGTAATGTGCAACATGGATACAAGTCACAGGGAATGTATCAGTTGAGACACAAAAGTAGTAAAGGGACTTGCAAAATTGTTCAGAGCTTTGCCTCTGACCCCACAGTCATCCCTCAGTCTTCACAGGGAGTTTGTAACAGGGGCCCCACAGATACCAGTGTCTGTGGATACTCTCATGCCTTAATTTAAAAGTTTTTTTTAATTTAAGTTAAACTTAAGTTTTTTTAACACATTTGCATGTGACTGTGAGAATTCTCCCACATATTTTTCTTGTTTATTTTTAGGACTAGGATTTAAGCCTAGAGCCTTCCAACTGAGCTACCTTCCTACACTTTTTTATTTCTCTCTCTTTTGGGAGCTTGTTTGTTTGTTTGTTTGTTTGTTTTGTTATCAGGAATCCAACTCACAACCTGAAGCCTGCCAGGCAGGCACTGTGCTACTGAGCTGAATCCTGAGCCTATTTCTTTCTCTTTCTCTTTCTCTTTGTTTATTTTGAGACAATTTTATTAGGTTACTAAGTTTCCAAGACTGTGCTAAAAAGCTTGTGATTCTCCTGCCCCAGCCCCACAGAGTGCCAGGTCTACAGACATGAGCTTCCACACTCAGTTCCCTCATATACTTTAAATCATCGCTAGATTGTTTCCAACACTCAATACAATCTAAATAATTCTTGTGCTGCATTATTTAAACAATAATGACAAGAAAAGTGTCTGTACATTTTCCATGTGGTCCCATTTGTTTCTGAGGAGTTTCAAACCTCAATAGTTGCTCAAATCCACGGATGGCAGAAAGCCAACCATATTGATTTCCTTATCCTGAGTTTGGCATTTGCTGTGTCACTTTGCAAAAGATTTTTTGGTCTATTTTTTTGTAAGCATTGCTTTTCTATGTGGTAAAATATACATAAGACTTATTATTTTAACCATTTTGAAATGCACGGTTCCTCGAAATTCAGTACATCCATCTTGCTATGTAACATTGCCTACTATCCATTTCCAGAACTTTTTCATCCTACTACACTAACACTTTATACTCAGTTTACAATAACTCCCTATTCCACCACTTCCCCAGCCTCCAGTAATCCCTTTTAAGACAGTGATAGTCTACAGTATTGATATACTGCTTTATGGGGTGTGTCTCATTCGGCTTATTCATTCATACACCAATAGAATTTAGAGTTGTTCCCATGTTGATCTAATAATAACTATGCTATAAAAAAAATATGCCAACATCTGCTCAAATCCTTGACTTCAGTTCTTTCAGGTACATTCCCCTGCTGTCGAATTACCAAATGAGAAACATTTTTTTGGTGAGGAAGCCCTATACTGAGTTTCACAGTAACTGCCCCATTTCACAGTCCCACCTACCCATAGGCACACAGTCCAGAATTCTCTACAGCCTCACAAACACTCGTGTTTTCATGGAGGTATCCTATTTATTGTGTGTGAGGTGGTTTTGATTTGCACTTCCCTAGTAACTAATGACATTGTGAAACTTCGGATTCCCTTACTGGTCATTTTTATATCTTTTTGGAGAAATGGCTGCTCAAGCTGATTTTTTTACTTGGATTGTCTAGTGTTTTTTCTTGTTATTAAACTGGAATAGTTTGCCTTTTCATTTTATTTTTTGAGGTAAGGTCTCATTACATAGTCCAGGCTGGCCTTGACTCACAATGATCCTCTGCCTCAGCCTCCCCAGTGCTAGGATGACAACTAGCCACCAAGCTTGATCATACTACAACAAGATTTGTGTGATGTTTACAATGTGATTTTTTGATATTTCTCCACGATGCAAAATGACTGAACCAATATCATAATGCGTCACCCTCTTATTTATCATTTGTATAGGAAGATATTTGAAAAGCTCTGTGCTACTACTTTGAAACATACATTATCATATACTGTAATCAATCTGCTGTACAAAATATCTCAAAACATGTTCCTCTCGTCCATCTGAAACTTTGAAGCACCGTCCAACTTCCCATTCGCCTCTTGCCCTACTGCCCAATCGCTCCCAGCAGTCACTCTGCTCTTTATTTTATTATTTCAGTATGTTTTAGACTCCACGTATGGGTTAGCTCATGCATTATTTCTCTTCCTGGGTTTGCCTTAGTTCACTTAACCAGATTTATCCATGCTGCCGGAATCACAAACAGACTCCCTTTTCCAGGCTCAACATATTCCACTGTGTGCACAGACCACATCCTCTTTATTCCTTCATGCAAGATGGACACTTAGGTTGCATATTTCAGCATTGTAAATATTACTGCATTTAAACAGCAGTGTAGTTATCTCTCCAAAAGATGACTTCAAATGCTTTGTACATGTATCCAAATAACAGTTTCTGGGTCATAGGTAGATAACATCCTTGCACACACAGAAACTTCTAATCTTCGTGAGGTACAACCTATCTATTTTTTTCTTGGTGCTGTTGCCTATGCTTTTGTTATTAGAGCCAAGAAATCATTGCCCAGTCCAACATCATGAAGCTTTGCTCTGTATCTGCTGTTAAGAATAGTACAGGTTGAGCTGTCACATTTAGGTGTTTGATCCTTTTGGAATTAATTGGCCTATATAATGTTAGGTAAAGATTCTGCTTCTTTCATTTGCATGGATATTCTGCTTTCTCAACATCTTTGTCAAAAAAAGAAAACCTTCCTTTCTTCATGGAACAGTACTATTCCTCATCAAAAAAAGCTCAGATACTGGAGTACAGTTGAATAAACACAATAGCTTCTAGTATCCTGTAGCACAGCAGGATAACTAAGTTAGACCATGTTTACTTCTGTATTTCAAAATAAGTGGTAAAAATAATTTTGAATGTTTCCGACACAAAACTGGATAACGCTAATATTACGGAATTGCCACTTGCCCATATGGTTGTCACACCTAGCAAGTGCCATGTTGTACTCTACACATAACTGTGCTTACATGGAAATTAATATTTTTAAATACTTTAAAACCACTTGACTATATGGGAGCATTCATGTGTGGTCTTTTCATTCTGTTTCACTGATTATATATCTTTATTGATGCCTCTAGCACAACATTTTGACTACTGCAGCTTTGTACTAAATTTTGAAATCAGACAGCGTGAGTCCAAGTTCTTCTTTACTTTCAGAGTCATCTTATGTATTTGGAGTCTCTTGAGATTACACAGGAATTTTAGGATACATTTTTCAATTTCTGAAAGAAGTGTCCCTGCATTTTGTTTTATTAATGGTGGTTAAAATCAGAGCTTTCACACTGAGCTACATCCCCAGCAACTACTTCCATCATGCCCTTTTTTGCTCAGGATATCACTAATTTGCCAATTTTCCTGAGCTGGGCTTAAATTTGTGATCATCCTACCTAAGGCTCTCACAGTGCTAGATTTACAAGATGTACCATGACAACCATCTAAAAATGTCACTGAGCTTTCGATAACACTCACGTTGAATCTATAGATCATTTCTAGTAGTATTGTCATCTTACCAACATTGAGTCTTCCAATACCTAAACATAGATAAGCTATGAAGGCACAATCCTGTAATCCTAGCACTTCCATAGAGGAATCAAATGAGTGCAACACAAATTACAAGTAAGACCCAGATTGAAACAAAAAAAAGAATAAATTTCATTTATACATTGTTTAATATTTTCAACAAATTTTTGTAGTTTTGTTGGGTACAGGTCATTCAACTCCTTGATAAAACTGAGTATTAAGAACTCAACACACCTTTACATCAAGGTAGATCAACAGTGTTTTTGTTGTTTTTGTTTTGCTTTGGATGCTGGCTGACAAGCACATTTTGAAGGATTTGCTGCTTGGGTCACTCACACTGGTTTCCCCATGAAGACACCATCATCACAGGCAGGTCCTCCAACACAGTGAAATGCATCAGCCATCATCATTTTTGTTAGAATCTGTTTGATCTGGAAGAATTTAATAAAACCCTAGTGGGCATTCCTTGGGTCAAAAAAAAAAAGATAGAAAGATTTTACAGGCCTAGCTGGGCTCCTGCCTACTTTGCATCATTCCCAGAAGCAACTGGGAATATGGACTTCTAACGTTACTAATGTGATGTGCCACTTCTGGGAAGTTGCTATCATGCCTCCTTTTACACCAGGGATGCCTCCGACTTCCCCTCTGACTAGCTCTGTCCACCCAACAAGGGCACAGGGCTCCTCATCAGGGAGTGGCCAGTTTCAAACTAGCTTCAAGAACTATCTGACGTGATCCAAAAAGTCTTCAGACCTTCTTCTAAGAGCCTGTGGTTCTCCTAGACAAATACTTTGTTCAGGAATTGTGCTTAGATTCACGTGTAAAAATGAAATTTTTCCCAGAGCAATCATTTATTATCTGAAATTGTTGTTCAAATCTATCAAAGCCCACAGGATCTTAATCTTCCACCTCCAGTGGAAAGAGGAACATTAAACACCAAGGACAAGAAGTTGATTCAGCTTTCTAATGTTTGTCTGTCCCCCTCTCACTGTCCTAGATCATGCATTAGACTCATGTTCCTGTCAGTCACCATCAAACCCAGAGGGAGAATCTCCCCACGATTTGCCCTCAGCCTAAACCCAGAGCTGAATGTCAGGCTTGGTATTGCTCCCCTTGTGTGTGATTTCTGCACACAACCATCCTCAATCCGGGCTGTGTGGTCTGCAATATGTACAAGCCCAATGACAGATTTCATCATGGCCCAATTTGAGCACAGCCTTGCATACAAAGCCTCAAAGGAAACACCCAAGACTGATCAGTGGAGGTCTCTGCAGCTAGACAGTCTCAGTACACACATAACCCACGGCAAACCAGGTGGCTGCTGGTGAGGCCAGGAGAGGCACTAGGGGTCTATCCATGACCAAAGACTGTAGCATGGTTCCCACATGAAAGGCCTGTGCTGTTCCAGACAATATGTAGCTGGTCTCATGTCCTCTGAGTGCTCAGGTCCTCATGAGCTACCTGTGAGATGCATTCCTGTTTGGTCCTTTAAGGACTCAAGTTTCCTGAGAGGAGAGAGAGCTCCAGTCTGGTGGAAAATACCTTTGCCCAGATGAAAGGCACTACATGAGGCAATCTCTCTGCTTTCTGCACAGGGATCCTACCCAAACCCTACATCACAGTCAACAACTCCAGCCCTCTGGAGGGTGAGGAAGCCGTAGCACTGACATGTGAACCCGAGACTCAGGACACAACCTACCTGTGGTGGATAAATGGTCAGAGCCTTCAAGAAGGTGATAGGCTGAAACTGTCTGATGGCAACAGGAGTCTCATTTTACTGAATGTCACAAGGAATGACACAGGACCCTATGAGTGTGAAACCCAGAATCCAGTGGCTTTCAACCGAAGTGACCCAGTCTCCCTGAATATTTCCTGTGAGTAACTTGAGTTCTACTGTGGTCCCAACTAATCACTCAGTAAGGGGAGCCAGAGACAGAGGCCAGCCCAGTCAGTCTCTCTGTCAAGTCCACAAAACCGGCCTCACTCTTGGACACATGGGCGGGCCACACCATTCTGACCCTGCCATTCAGGCTGTCCTGACCTTTACCTTAGATAAGAAAGAGATGGGTTTCTCCTGCCTGTAGGGATTCACTCACCTAACCACCTGTTATCTACAACAGGGTGATGACTGAGGCTCAGCCTGCACAGAGAGATATGACCAGAACTTTTTTCTGTATACATACCACCAGGCATGGTACCAGGGCCTGATGAACCCACTGATCTGGTTGGGATGTTTTCATACCAAGATTGTGACATGGCTCAGAAGGATACTCAGCCTTCTTACAAGCCAGGAGGTTCCCCTTCCCTCTGATGAAGTCACGTATGGGTTTATTCTGTTTATTCCAGATGGCCCGGATATCCCCATCATATCACCCCCAGAGTCATATTTCCGTCAAGGGACAAACCTCAGCCTCTCCTGCCATGCAGACTCTAACCCACCCGTACAGTATTCCTGGCTTGTCAATGGGAGCCTCCTGCAATCCACGCAGGAGCTTTCTATCCCAAACATCTCTGCAGATGATAGCGGATCTTACACCTGCCTCGTCTCTAACCCTGCCACTGGCCTCAATAGGAGCACAGTCAAGGATGTTACAGTCATTGGTAAGTGGATCATAGAGAGACAGAGCAAGCTCTGGAATAGTGTTTTGGTTGTCTGGAAGCAGCGGGATGAAACTCACTTCCCAGCCTGTGTCCACAGACATAAGAAAATCTCCATCCTACCTGAGCATTTTGCCCCACCCCCGAGACTGTCCACCCCTTGCTTATCTGATTCCTCATGGCTGAGCTGGAATTCAGCCTGGAATATGGAGAGGTGGTTCTGCTCATAGCAGAAGGCCCCATGGAGTGGATAGAGATTCACAGAATCGGTGGGTATCTTTGAGCTCAAATAGTATCTTTCACTGACTGACTCCCTCCTTCTGTCATCTGTTTTCTTTAACCTCTTGCATGAGTTTTAAGGAATCCACAGGGCTTTGAAACACCTTTACACGGTTTTTCCCGATGAGAGGAGGAAATCCCTCCTATTTAGGACACCCTAGTTCCCAAATCTGCTCCAACTCTGTTCCAGTCTCACGCAGGGACTGACTCAGCCCTGACTCTCTCTGGGCTGAGACAGAACAGGTGGAAAAGTTGTCCGTGTGTCCTGTCCTCATTCTGCTATATCATGTCCCCAGTGTGCATCCGAGTCACCCCCAGGTAAGGAACTGAAAAAGTGCGTCTGGCACATGCCTCTGAGCTGGGCCCTGGCTCTGAAGTCCTGGCTGTCTGAGCTGAGGATACAAGTGCAGGTCGTGCACCAATGAAGAGCAGTGAGTGCTGCACACTGGAGCGCAGGAGCATCACTGTGCAGTCCTGCGTGGAAGGAAGGGCAGGGCCAAGGGCTACATTTGCAGAGAGTGATCCCAGCCTTCCTTGGATCCCGTGGCCATTTATCTCTGCTGATCTCCTTCACTGTAGTATTTATTCTACAGGTCAGGGAATAAAAGTCCTTTTCCAAACTGAGATGTTCTTCATAATGCAGGTGGCTCAGCTTTTACTGTCAAAGAGAGCACTGGGAAAACATCCTGCAAAAGTCAGTAGGAGGCTATGGTGGCTTTCCCTCATGAGAGCCCACCCTGCCTTCCCCAGGCTGGTCTTTATCTTGCTTTTTCTTCTTTTACTCAGCCCAAGCTTGCTCTGCAGAATCAGTCTCCCTACTCCCACCCTTCACTTTTACTTTCTGGAATTTAAAACAAGAAAGAAAAGGTCAATGGGAAAAAGTATTCAAACTTCCATGGAGATTTCCAGACATGTTTCCTAATAACAGGTTCCTGTCCTGGATCCTTCAGAGAGGTCTAGGGAAGCGGATGGGCCTCCCTGGGTGTGCTGGGTTGCGAGGGAGGGAGAGCCTGCTCCTTACTGTCACTGAGCCAAGGCATGCAACCTCTGTAGTAGGGTCAGGACTGTCCTCTGAGTCACTGGACAGCACTCACAGTGGCCCAGAGAGTTGATTGAGTATCAGAGGAAAAGGCACAGCTAGGCGCCCTGCTCAGGCTCAGGCTGTTCCCTCCTCTGTCCACAGCACCTGTGATGCAACCCTCCATCCAGGCCAGCAACACCACTGTCACAGAAGATGATTCTGTGGTCCTCACCTGCCTCTCAAATGACACTGACATCTATATCCAATGGATCTTCAGTAACCAGGGTCTGCAGCTCTCAGAGAGGATGAAGCTGTCCGAGAACAACAGCATCCTCACCATCTACCCTGTCAAGATTGAGGATGCCGGGGAGTATCAGTGTGAGGTCTCCAACCTGGTCAGTTCCAGAAAGAGTGAGCCCTTCAGGCTAAGTGTGACCATGACTGGTGAGTGGCTTCTCCTCTCCTACCTCTTCTGGAGAGTATTTCTCGCCCAGTAATGTGCAAGATGGATACAAGTCACAGGGAATGTATCAGTTGAGATACAAATATAGTAAAGAGACTTGCAAAGTGGTTAAGATCTTTGGGTCTGACTCCACAGTCACCCTCAGTCTTCACAGGGAGTTTGTTCCAGGAGCCCCACAGACACCACTACCTGAGGATACTCTAATGCCTTATGTTAAAGTGGGATAGCATTTACATGTGACTGTGAGAATTTTCCCACATATTTTTCTTTTTTGTTGTTGTTTCTTTTTACGACTAGGATTTAAGCCTAGAGCCTTCTAGCTGAGCTACCTCCCTACACTTTTTCATTTCTCTCTCCCTTTGGGGGGGGGGCATTGTTGTGGTCATTGTTGTTGTTTTTTTTTTGGTATCAGGGATTGAACTCACAACCTGAAGCCTGCCAGGCAAGGGCAGTACTTCTGAACTGAATACTCAGCCTATTTCTTTCTCTTTCTCTTTATCGTTGTTTATTTTGAGACAATCTTATTAGGTTACTAAGTTACCAAGACTGTGCTTTAGCACAGAATCTTGTGATTCTCTGGCCTCAGCCCCGCAGAGTGCCAGGTCTGCCAACATGAGCCACCACACTCAGTTCTCCCATATACTTTAAATCATCACTAGATTATTTCCAATACCCAATACAATGTAAGTAATTCTTGTACTGCATTATTTAAAGAATAATGACAAGAAAAGTTTCTGTACATTTTCCACGTGGACCCATTTTTTTCTGAGGAGTTTCAAACCTCAATAGTTGCTCAAATCCAGGGATGCAAGAAAGCCAACCATACTGAGTTTCTCATCCTAAGTTTGGCATTTGTTGTGTCACTTTGCAGAAGACTTTTTTCTTGTTCTATTTTTGTGTGAACTTTTCTTTGCGATGTGGTAAAATATACACAACACTTATTATTTTAACCACTTTGATATGCACAGTTCCTTGAATTTGGTACATTCATATTGTTATGTAACATTCCCACTACCCATTTCTGGAACTTTTTCATCTTACCACACTAACACTTTATACCCAGTATACAACAACTCCCCATTCCACCACTGCCCAGCCTCCAGTAACCCCTTTTAAGACAGTGATAGTCTATTGTAGGGATATACTGCTTTATGAGGTGTACCTCATTTGGCTTATTCATTCAACCATCAATAAAATTTAGGGTTGTTCCCATATTTGGCCTATTAATAATTCTGCTATGAAATAAATATGCTCAAATCTCTTATTTCAGTTCTTTAGATATATACCCAGCTGTAGAATTGCCAAATGAGAAAATAAATTTTTTTTGAGAAAGCCCTATACTGAGTTTCACAGTGACTGTCCCATTTCACATTCCCACCTACCCACTTGCACACAAGTCCCGATTTCTCTACAGCCTCACAGACACTCATGTTTTCATGAGAGATATCCTATTGGGTGTGAGGTGGTTTCGCTTTTAACCTCCCTAATAACTAATGGTATTGCACATCTTTTTATATGCTTATTGATCATTTTTATATCTTCTTTGCAGAAATGGCTGCTCAAACCTGCTAGTTACTTGGATTGTTTGGAGATTGTTGTGGTTGTTAAACTGTGATAGTCTTGCTTTGTCATTTTGTTTTTTAAGACAGGGTCTCCTTCAATATGTAACTTATCAACTGGTGATTTCTTACCTTTTATTTTTCTGTAATTCTGTATTATTTCTTCTTTTTATCTCCATGTATTTTTTTTTTACTTCTTTCTCTTTAAATTAAAAAAAACTAAAATAAAAAAGACAGGGTCTCATTATGTAGTCGGGCCAGCCTTGAACTCACAATGATCATCTGCCTCAGTCTTCCCAGTGCTAGGATGACAGGAATGTGCTCCAAGCTTGATTGCATAGAGAGACACATTCGTGTGATGTTTACAATGTGATTTTTTAATAGTTATCTATAATTTCTATGGTATTTGAAATATACTGTGTTAGTACTTTGAAATATACAGTATCATATACTAGGGCCAGGGATTTGGCTTGGCATCATTAACAACTGCCTGGCAAGTGCGAGGTTGAGAGCTCAATCCCTGGTTCCAAAAAAAAAGAAAAACGAGGAAGAGAAAAGAAAAAAATCCTATCATATACTGTAACCATTTCATTGTGAAATACATCTCAAAACACATTCCTCTTGTCCAGCTGAAACTTTGAACCCTTTGACCAACTTCCCATTCCCTCCTCCCCTACTCCCCAATCTCTTGCAGCCATTACTCTGCTCTTTATTTCAGTAAATTCGGTGTTTTTTGCATTCTACATATGAGCTAGATTACACACTATTTCTCTTCCTGTTCCTGGATTATTTCACTAAACCAGTGAAATATCCGTGCTGCCGGAATCACAGAAGAGCCTTCCTTTTCCAGGCTAAACAGTCTTGTCTTTATCTGCTCATCCACTAATGGACGCTTAGTTTCCATATCTCAGCATTGTAAAAATTACCATGTTTAAAACAGCAGATTAGTTATCTCTCCAAAAGATGATTTCAAATGCTTTATACACATATCCAAAAGAGGAATTTCTGGGTCATGGGTGGATAACATCCTTGCACGCACAGAAACTTCTAACCTTCATGAGGTCCAACTTATCTATTTTTTATTTAGTGTTGCTGCCCATGATTTTGCCGAGAAATTGTCACCCAATCCAACATCGTGAAGCTTTGTTCTGTATTTGCTGCTAAGAATTGCACAGTTTGAGCTGTTACATTTAGGTGGCCCATTTGGAATTAATTTACATATATAATGTTAGACAAAAGTTCTGCTTCTTTCATTTGCATGAATATTGAGGTTTCTGAATATCTCTGATGAAAAAAACCTTTGTCTCTGCATGGAACAGTACTAAAAGTCTCATCAAAAATAGCTTGGACACTGGAGTACAGTTGGATGGAAACAATAGCTTCTAGTATCCTGTAGCAGAGCAGGATCACTAAGTTAGATCATATTTAATTCTGTATTTCAAAATAAGGAGTAAGAATAATTTTGAATGTTCCCAACACAAAGCTGGATAAACGCTGAGGTGAAGGAGCCGCCACTTGCCCTGATCTGGTTGTCACACATTGTAGACATACAGTAAGTGCACATTGTACCCCATGCATGTATGTTCTTCTTACATGGCAATTGACATATCTAAGTAGTTTAAAGTCATGTGGCCATCCATGGGAGCATTCATTAGTGGGCTTTTCATTCTGTTTCACTGAT